AAACAGAATTCTGAAGTAACGGATCTTCCAAATCCAACAATGTTAAATAAACTCCACGTAATGTTAAATGGAAAACTGAAAAGGCCGCCAGCGAAACGAATGGATTCAGTTCGATACCTACTCGAAATTATTTGGGTGGAACGAGGCGAAGAATGGAGAAACTGTTTGTTCCTTTCCCTTTCCCCTCTCCTCTCGAACGAGATGGGGAGGGGAAAGGATAAGGAATAAACACGGATAAAAGAGTAACTATTAGTAGTCAGTAATCATATTACTACATAAATAACATTAAAATAAATCAAGATTTTTTCAAACTTCCATCACTGCTCAGTTTAAATTAAGCTCTTTCCACTAACCACCAAGATCGTCTGAACTATCGCTACTTTGTTACTGAGACTAATATACTTACCTACAGTTTATGACTAAACTTTTCACGAGATCTTAGCGGTATCGAAGTCATTTAAAATTGTGTAACGCTTTCATTCCTCCCTTCCCTCGCTTATCCGTAATTTCCAATTTCGTTTCCCTATGGTACACCTGTAAAGTATCGGGCAGGCTCGGACAGCGCAAAAACGAATCGAATGGAGAAGTTGCCAGCTGCATCGATGGCGTGACATTGTACATCGATGACATACAGCTACCCAGTTATTTCAGCTTATCCTCGTCCCTTCCCAGATTAATCACCTCAGAGGAAAAGAGCTCAGCTGTGGCAACTACTACTACTATTGTATTTCTCAATCAAGAATTGCTTGAATGAGGAATTTTATAATGTATTACCGTCTCTAAAAAAACCGGTAATTCTAGGATTTGAGTACCACCAGACGAGCCGCATGAAAATAATAACTAACTGGTACCATCATGCATGCATTCTCTCCTGAAATTCTGACGCATCTGACGCACATCAAATACCTGAGACAAAGCAAAAGCAAACAAAAAAAAATTGTTCATCCTCGCTGACCCTTTGAACTTCACCCTTGCAATAATGCATCAAAAAGTAGAGGACGATTCTTACAGATCTGTAGAAAAAGTCTACAGAAACCACCCTCTTTCTATAAGGTATCGGCTGTTACCTACCTCAGTTCGAAAAACTTACTTTTACTGCTCCTTTCTGTAAGCGACCAAATTTCAGCTCCGTTGGTTCACCAATCATGAAAAATTCTGGCACCGCTCCAAGACTATTAGCTTCCTAGAAAAAAAAGCAAGTGCTTCCAGAAATGTTAAACGTTCATGAAATGAATAAATGTGTAACTATGAACAAAAATAATAACAAGGCATGAGCCAAACTAATACATATATTCTCAATGCATACCACCATTCCGATGTGATCAAGTTCTTCGCTAACAACAAACAGCAGACCAATGTTTTCGGCAAGAACCGGATCCTCCTTTGCAATCTGTTGGGCAGCAAATGTCATTGCCGCTAGCTGTCCTGTAACAGAAAAAAAAATTCGAAAAATACCAAAAAAAAAAAAAAAAATTCGTTATTTTAGCGCAGAAAAACAACT